CCTTCTTCCCTTCTCGTTCTTTCTTTATTTACCTCCTTTCTTTCCCTCCTTTCATTCTTTCCTTTTCTTCTTTCCCTCCTTCTTCCCTTCTCTCTCTCTTTCCATCCTTTCCTTCTCTTTCTTTCCCTCTTTCCTTCTCTTTATCCCCTTTCCTTCCTTTTTTCTTTCTTCTTTCCTTCTCTTTCTTTCCCTCTTTCCTTCTCTCTACTCTCTCTCTTTTCTTCCCTCTTTCCTCCTTCTGTGGCCCAACTCTAGTGAGAAGGGGTTTAAACCCCTTCTCCCCCCCCCACTCCTGAAGGCCAGCTGGGGAAGGGAAGGGGAGGCTTTTGAAGATGCCTCCCCCCCTGCTTCCCCTTCTGACATCACTTCCGGTGGTATCAGGGGTGTGGCATATGCTAATAGCCTAGTAGCTCATTAGCATACCATATGCTAATGAGCTCCTGCAGCTCTTTTTCTAGGAAAAGACCCCTGAATAATAAGTCCATCAGGAAGAGGCACTTATACTAAAAGCTTCAAGCAACAGACAGGGCAGAGGGAGGTGTTACAAAGAGAAGCCAGTTTTCCACAGTCACGTTTCATGTTACTTAGGTTTTAAATTCTGAGACAGATAAAACATACCCCTTTTATGCAAAGTAGCAATGGAGGTTGAATGATCACGACTCGTTTGAGTTCACCTTGCAGGAGAAATAAGGCTAACAAGAATGGAGCAATACTGGAAACTGCAGGAGTGATATTGACTACGCTGTCCCATCGATACAAAGAATGACATCACAGCCTGATGCCTCGCTGCTTTTACGATCCATAGTTTCCCACTCTCTTGCTTTTATTAACTGGCTTTCCTTAAAACCCAGATGCAGGCTCTTTGGGGATCCTTTTTTGCAAGGAGGACGTGCTACAACTCCCTTGGTACTTCCCACGGCTGCCCCCCCCTCCTTTTTTCTTTTCTTTTTTCAAGATATAGTTGGGTCTGCATATGATCCAGTGCTTGTTTTGACGACAGACCTGAGCTAGATTTTCTCACATGAAAGGTGTCAGTCAGGGGTAATTTTGTAGAAAAAGAGGTGCAGGAGCTCATTAGAATAACTTATTTGCATATGCCACACCCCCTGACATCACCGGAAGTGAGTTAGAAGGGCTGTTTTGGGCCAGGGGGCTCTGCAACTTACCTGGCTGCTTCTTGCTCTGACTGAGAGCTGCTGGGAGCAGGGGGTGGGGCTTGTTGCTGTGCACTCCTGCAGGAAATGACCCCTGGTGTCAGTTCCCTTTCTATCTACAGGTTTCTCTCTTTCTGAATACTGTCTACCTTATGGGCCACTCCATTACCAAGAAGAGCTCCCTGCTGGAACTTTTCTCCTGGGCCGGCTTTAGTGTTTGGCATTCTCGGGTAGCTGCAAAGGGCCCAGTATTGCTGGAAGGGCCCACATCTGAGTTTCCTACCCCAGGTAGCTGCCACCACTGTTGGGGTAATCTGGTATAGTTAGTCCAGTAACCACAGACTAGTTAGCAGAGTGCATAATGCTTCTAGAGCAGGAGTGCGTCCAACCAGGGTAACAAAGCTTAGAGTGTCACAAAGTTACACGGAGCCATGTTTTCAGTTTAAAAGACTAATACTAGTCTTTTTATTTCAGAACTACAATCTGTATAGGAAAGCTTAGAGACAGAATACAAGCTAGGCTTCAACAGTACGGGGATAGAGAACTGCCAGAAGTACAAGCTGGGTTTCGAAGAGGTAGAGGAACTAGAGATCAAATTGCCAACATTCGCTGGATTATGGAGAAAGCAAGAGAGTACCAGAAAAACATCTACTTCTGCTTCATTGACTATGCTAAAGCCTTTGACTGTGTGGATCACAACAAACTATGGCAGGTCCTTAAAGAGATGGGAGTACCAGACCACCTCACATGTCTCTTGAGAAACCTGTATAAGGATCAAGAAGCAACAGTTAGAACCGGATATGGAACAACTGATTGGTTTAGCATAGGAAAAGGAGTACACCAAGGATGTATATTGTCACCTTGCTTATTTAATATATATGCTGAGTACAGCATGCGAAATGCTGGCCTGGATGAATCACAAGCGGGAATTAAGATTGCTGGGGAAAAGATCAACAACCTCAGATATGCAGACGATACCACTCTAATGGCAGAAAGTGAAGAGGACCTAAAGAGCCTCTTGCTCAGGGTAAAAGAGGAGAGCACAAAAGTGGGCTTGAAGCTCAACATCAAAAAAACTAAGATCATGGCATCCGGCCCCATCACTCCTTGGCAAATAGAAGGGGAAGTCGTGGAAGTAGTGACAGACTTCACGTTCCTGGGATCCCAGATCACAATAGATTCTTTTGAACTATGGTGCTGGAGAAGACTCTTGAGAGTCCCTTGGACTGCAAGAAGATCAAATCAGTCAATCCTAAAAGAAATCAACCCTGACTGTTCCCTGGAAGGCCACATACTGAAGCTGAAGCTCAAATACTTTGGCCACCCAATGAGAAGGGAGCACTCACTGGAGAAGACCCTGATGCTGGGAAAGATTGAAGGTCAAAGAAGACGGGGACGGCAAAGGATGAGATGGTTAGACAGTGTCATAGATGCAACGAACATGAAATTGAGCAAACTTCAGGGGACGGCGGAAAACAGGAGGGCCTGGTGGGATCTGGTCCATGGGGTCGCGAAGAGTCGGACTCAACTGTGCGACTGAACAACAACAACTAACTAAGGATGGACTCAGATGCTAGGGTTGCCGAGTCTTACCTAGCTGCGGTGGGGGAGGGTCCAGTCTTGCTCTGAGAGTCTTTTGGTGCAAAGTATGTGTATCACAATGATGCCAACTAGAGGTGACATCATCGCACCAAGCAAGTTGGGTGGTGTTAAGTCCGGCGCTTAACAATGAGTCGGAGAGTGATTTCAGTAAAAGACTCAAGTTTATTCAGCTCTTTCTTCACTTCTTCGACACGGTACAACATCTGATAGCCCGAACAGTTTGCCCATTGAAACTGCCCGGTATTTAAACATTCCCGGCTAACATAGCCACTCCCACTATACACATAACAACCTATCAGGTTGAGCGCATAAGGACCAATCACAAACGTTCCCGCTTGCAGCTTGCTTGAATGTGATTGGGTCGTGAGTCTTGGACTAGAATCCTCTGTCCAAGACGAAGCTTAACATTGCTTCCCTATGGGAGGTTTCCCATACATCCTAATGTACTCATGGCAGCTAGAATACATTACAATTCCCTCCCCCCTAAGCAAAAATACCTCATGAACAGTCGTAATCACTTAGGTAGGTGGGTGCACGTCTCGTTCTCTGAGACCTACGAGGTGAACTCGTCTCAGGGCATCTGTCCCTCAGTGGTACTCCGTTTGACTCTGGGACCTCAGAGTCAGGAACATCCCCGTCCGTTGCATGCGGTTCAAAATTAGGGGTCTGCCCTGTCTCTTGACCGCTACTGTAGCCCTCAGGCTCTACAGTACCTGCCTCTTCTAAAGGCCATGGGGGTTCCTCCGCAGACTCAGCCGGCTGCACGGTCGGACGGTCAGTTGCCCACCGCTGCCTCAGCTGGTCTATGTGCCTACGCCACTTGCGTCCATCTGCAAGCCGTACCACATACATTCTAGTACCGATAACATCGGTGACAGTGGCTGGAAGCCACGAGTGACCACTGGCATAGTTACGAGCATACACTTGCTCACCCTTTTCGTACGTCCGGACCTTCGGACTCTCGGTCTGTGGTTGTGGTTTCAGATCGTTCAGATCTGGATGCAACCTGTCTAATAGCGTTGCTAAACGGCGACCCATTAACATCTCGGCCGGGCTGCGGCCTGTCGCCGAACAAGGGGTAACATGTTGTCTCAGGAGAAACGAAGCTAGTTTCACCCCCCAATCACCACATACCAGCTTTGCAAGGGCTTCTTTAGTTGTTCTCACCATTCTCTCGGCCTGCCCGTTTGAGGCCGGGTGAAACGGCGCGGCCGTCATTTGCCTGATCCCGTTATCAGACAAGAACCTCCTGAACTCCTCGGAAGTAAATTGTGCGCCGTTGTCACTCACGAGTACGTCAGGCAACCCGTGAGTGGCAAACAACTGTCGCAGCACTGTGACGACAGCGCTAGAAGTGGTCGATCGCATGTGAGCCACTTCTAACCATTTGGTATAAGCGTCTACAATTACCAAAAACATTTGCCCTTGTACTGGCCCTGCGAAGTCGAGGTGCAATCTCGACCAGGGCTTTCCCGCCGACTCCCATCTCTGAGGAGTGGCGGTTGGTGGTTCAGGCCTAGCCTGCTGACAAGGCTCACACACCCGAACCCACTCTTCAATGTCGGCGTCTAGCCTGGGCCACCACACGTACCCGCGAGCTAGCGCCTTCATATGGACCATGCCGGGATGGCCCTCGTGAAGTGATTTCAGCACTTTTTCCCTGAGTTTGTGAGGGACCACCACCCGGCTTCCCCACAAAAGACATCCCTTTGACACAGACAGCTCGTTTTGACGCATTTTGTAACACGCAAATTCTGGCTCCACGGAGCCCACAGGCCACCCCCTCCAAACCCAGTTCAAAACTCTGGAGATCACAATGTCTTTAGCGGACGCAGCCGCAATGTCCTTAGAGGTGATCGGAGCCTGGGACAGTTCATCAATCGCTAACACCTCGTTAGCTGGAGCTGGGTCTGAGTCCAGGCCGGGCAGAGGGCAGCGACTCAAAGCGTCCGCGTGACCAATCGCCTTACCCGGCCGATGTTCCAGGTCGTAATCGTAGGCGGACAGGAACAGAGCCCACCTCAGCATCCGCGCTGACATGATGTTGGGAAGTTGCCGGTCCGGGGCAAAGATTCCCAACAGGGGCTTGTGGTCGGTGACAAGGAGAAACTTCCGACCATACAAAAAGTCATGAAACTTTTTAACTGCTGCAACAAGCGCCAGTCCCTCCTTGTCGATCTGGGCGTACCCCTTCTCCGCGCTTGACAGTGAGCGGGAATAAAATGCTACGGGAGCTTCCTCGCCGTTTGGCATCAAGTGGCTGAGCACCGCCCCCACCCCATAAGGAGATGCATCCGCAGCCAACACCAACATTTTATTATCATCGTAGTGAGTCAACACTGCATTGGACACCAGTAATGCCTTGACTCCTTTGAACGCCCGTTCCTGATCTGACCCCCACCGCCATTTCGCCTCCTTGTGCAGGAGGGCATGTAGTGGGGCCGCTACCGACGCCTTGTGGGGGAGGAAGGCGTGGTAAAAATTGAGGAGTCCAAGGAATGCTTGGAGCTCCTTTTTGTTCCCTGGACATGGGGCATCCTTAATTGCCCTCACCTTGTCCTCTGTGGGGTGGACACCATGTTCGTCGATCCTGAACCCCAAAAATTCCACACTGGGAACACCCACTATACATTTGGACTGTTTCACCTTAAGTCCCGCTTGAGAGAACCGTTTCAGTACCTCTCGAACTCTGCTCATGAGTTCCTCATCGGACCTCCCAGCCACCAACACATCGTCAAAATAAGGGACAGTCCCCTGAACTCCCCTCAGTAACCCTTCCATGAGGCCTTGGAACACCCCTGGGGCCACATTTACTCCAAACTGGAGTCGGTTCACTCGAAAAGCCCCTCTGTGGGTGACGATTGTCTGCGCCTCAGCCGCCTCCCTGGTCACAGGCAGCTGTTGGTAAGCTTGGGCGAGGTCGAACTTTGCAAACACTTTCCCCCCTCCCAGTGACGCCAGGACGTGGCTGATTACCGGGACAGGGTAGGAATGCTGCTGCAAGGCACGGTTGATCGTGCACTTATAGTCAGCGCATATTCGGATGGAGCCATCCGATTTTACTGGCGTGACTATAGGCGTCTCCCATTTGCTAAATGGGACTGGCTCCAATACTCCTTGGGCTATGAGCTTGTCCAGCTCGGCTTCGATCCGTGGTTTAAGCGGGATTGGCACCTTCCTATACTTCAACCGTATAGGTGTCACAGATGGATCGAGCTCAAAAGACACAGGGGGCCCTTTGTACTTTCCCAGACCGCCCCCGAACACATCAGGAAATTCATTATATAGTACAGCCCATTTATTTTCCGATACTACATTCACTCCAGTAAGTGCTATACCGAGTGGTTCAAACCACTCCAACCCAAGTAAATTCACCCGGTTACCTTC